TGGGAGCAGATTGGAGGAGAAAATTGCATCTAGATGTGGCAGAAGTATCTCTGAACTCTGTGGTGGGATTCACTCCGAGTCACGCTATGAAAGTGAAAGGAGAGATAGCTGACCGTGAGGTGGTGGTGTTAATTGATAGTGGGGCTACCCACAATTTCATTTCCACTCAGGTCTCAACCAACTTGTGAGTGAATTGGTGGACACCGGTTGTTATGGGTGATGATGGGTACAGGGAAGGTGGAGAAAGGCCAAGGAATTTGTAAAGGTGCGGTGTTGACCATCCAGGGGATTCAAGTAAGGGAGGATTTTCCCCACTAGAATTAGGAAGCATGATGTCATCCTGGGGATGAAGTGGTTGCAAACTTGGGGAAACCAGGACAATTGGGGAGCACTCACGATAAATTAATGGTGGATGGGAGAAGGGTAGTCATAAGGAGAGATGCAGGGCTATCCAAAGCCATCACAACACTTAAGACCATGGTTAGGGACGTACAAGAGGTGGGGGAAGATTATCTAGTGAGACTACAACAGATTGGATGCAATCGATTGGAAGAGGGAGGGGATGTTTCCCTGTCGTGCAGCCCTTGATTCAGCAATACAGTAAGGACTTTCAGTTCACCTCAAGGATGGCCACCTCCACCGAAACACGAGCATATCTCCACCTGCGAGGACAAGGTGGATTTTCGGGAGGGGAGTATGTTAGACCGTTCCACTGGACCGGTCCAGCCGGTCTGCACGGGACACGGCAGAGCGCGAACAGGCGGGATCTCCGCCTTCCTGCGGGAGATCGGGCGGGCCGACAGCTCAAACAGAGCGTTTTAGGAAGGATTTTTGGGGGGTTTCAGAGAGAAATTTGAATGTAGGGACTGTTTAGGGAATTTCTTTTAATTTGTATGCATTAAATAGTTGATTTTGCTAGGGTTTGAGTATCTTGAATTTGGCAGAAATTTGAGATCTCTTAGATTTAGGTTTTCTTTGGGCTCTAGCGGCGTCTAGAGATTTGGGAGAGATCGATCCTCCTCTCGAATTGAGGATCAATTGTATCTTTGCTGTTTTCTTCTTCTTCTAGTGAAATACAAGCGTTTCTGTGACTTTTCTCTCAGTTTTCCCGCAATTCCTCACTGTTTTCTTGAGAAAAACTGCTGTCCACTGCTGTAAACAGCAGTTTTCTGCTTGTTCTACTTCAGTTTTTGCTAGGAACTACTTGAAACCAAGTATTTCCTATCAATTTGTTGAATCATATGATATCTTAGTAAGACGCCAAGCCGTGTTTGGTTTTTTTTTTTTTTTTTCGAATTGATTCTTCTCTTTACGCTATTACATATACTGATGTTAATTGGGTTGAGTCCCTAATACCCAACAATTGGCCACGGCTTGGTGTATGCATCTTGATGACTTTTTAATTTCTTGGAAGAGTAAGAAGTATCTTCATGCGTCTAAATCATCCCCAATATTGTTTGATGTCTGCCACATGTTTAGAGATTATTTGGCTTCATGGACTTTTATTTGAACTTGATTATTTTAAAAATAAGCTCACTCCTCTCATGGGAACAATCCCAATGCTATTTAATGTATTATTAATCTTGTTTCTCATTAGCACATAACATATATTGAAGTTGGCTATCATTTAATTCAGGAAGCTTTAAACAAACATATTATTTCTCTTCCTCACATTCTTATTAACCTTCATATTGCTGACCTATTTAAGAAAATCATAACACAACAACGATATCAGTTCCTTATGGGCAATTTAATGCTTCTTGAAAAACTAGCATCAATTTTGAGGGAAGATACCAGCTAGATATGTCATAAATAACTTTCTGCTAATTATGCCTATAAAATCAATGTAATAAAAATAATATAGCAGTAAATATTTATTTTCTAAAAATATAATTATAGATTATTTGTTAGGCTAAATCTAATTGCTCAAATAACCCAAAGATTACCTTGTATTATAAATTTTAACTTCTTTCTGATGAGAAGAACCCTCTGAGTGAGGGAAAGACCGAAAGTAATTTCATTATCATAATATTAAAAACTCAATTTTAGGGCTATATATACCTATATGATTGCATTTTGGGATAAGTTCTTCTATCATTTGTATTGTACACATGTATTTAACTATATATAACCTTGTAATTAAGTTTACAGGATTGTTCACACATGCGTAAACTTATTCAAGTGCAGGTTCATCTATAATTTGAGTTTAATGCATGAGTGTATATTCTTATAAACACAATTAGTAGATTGTATACACGTGTGCAATTATTTTAGGGCAAGTTTTCCATATTTTGTAATTTACACGTGTAAAATATCATAAACTCAATTCTAGAGTTGTACACATCTATCTGCAAATGTTTTAATGTAAGCTCATTCATTTTGTGTCTTACACTACCATGTACACTCCTTTAAACTTAATTAGTGTGTTATATACCCCAGTGTACATATATTTTGAAGAATGTTCTTTCAACATTTCTACTATATACAGTGTTTTCCAAATAAATTCTAATATTTAAGTAAAAAATACATATAAAAAGTACTACTTTGTATACTCCTTTAAACTTAATTAGTGTGTTATATACACCAATGTACGAAGAATGTTCTTTCATCATTTCTACTATACACAGTGTTTTCTAAATAAATTCTAATATTTAAGTAAAAAATACATATAAAATGTATATTATAGAGCTCTAAACAAATGAAAGAGCTCTAGCCCAATGAATATTACTTCATCTATGCAAAGAAATATGCTTTTTCAAAAACAATAATCTTCTAAAAAGTAAAGGACATCGATAAAACCTTATTCTTTAGTTATTTGTTGCAAACATTTAGTATTTTAAATGCAGTGCAAAGTAAATATAATGAATTTGAGTTGATTGGTTGATTGCAAAATAAATTCAAAAAATTACTTTTTGGTGTTTTATTAGAAGTAAAACAAAACTAAAATTTTCTATTAATTTTTTTTTTAATATTTTTTTAAATGAATTTAGGACACAGGATGCCCTCATGAAGTCGACACAATCCACAATATTGGAGGGATGACGATGAAACAAGGATGGGGAGAGTCAGAGAGAGGAATTTTAGAGGCACGGAGAAGTGGGGTTGATGTGATCGGAAGGTTTACACATGGACAGCAAGAAGCACGATTGATGTTAGGTCAATGTGAGGACTATGGGTTTGTGAGAATAGGTTGGCGCAAGCACAGGATACTAATAATCGTGAGATGTTAATACAGTGACTTTGCAAGCATGGGATGCCAATGAGGTCTCAAGATCAACCGTAGATGCAAGATTGTGATGTGCAATGTGTTAGCTTGTGTGGAAAATGATTTTGTCGATCAATCAGATTATATTGTTGCCTCGGACCTCGAGTAAAAAAAAATGGTACAACACCCCAGCGCTGTATACTCGAGAGCCCCAGCGTTGTGTTCACAAGCCCCCCGTTTTTTTAGAGTTCCCTGGGCGAAACAACAGAGAGCAAAGCGTCGTAGTGCTCTAGATTTGATGTTGTAGTGTTGTGGGTTTAAGTACTGCAACATCGTCAGATGGAATGCTGCAGCGTTCTAAACAGGCGTCACAGCGCTTCAAGACTTGTCTTTCTCTTTTGTTTTGAATGTGAGAATGGTATAAAAGAGAAGAGAAGCAAGGAGAGATCGAGACAAAAGAGAGATATGTATTATTTATCCCAATTATCATAGTGGGTTTCTTGGTGTGGTGTGGCTCCATAGGTTTTTCCCGATTTTGATTTTTCCACATTAAATCTTGGTGTCCTTTACTTTCCACTGTATTTTTTATTTTTATTTTTTGTTTGCTTCTCTGCAGTGTTTTTTATTCCATCCCCATCACAATGAATTTAGAATTTGCCTAAATTGAACGAAATTCCAAATTCATAAAAATGACCTATTTGAGGTATTCAAATCCCTTCGAGCAATACATTGGATTTGTCTTAACCTCAACTAAATACTCAAAATTTAAAACACAAATACAATACACTCAAAATACCTACAACCAAAAATTTCCTTACAAAAATCAAAATACAAACATAATTTCTTTGGGTTGTTCCTAATATTAAAGCCAAAAATCAAAGTAAACCTATGTCAAAAGCCTTTCAACAACTCAAACTCAACAAGGTTTATGAATGACAAGAGAAGCTTGGCCTTGTCGCTTACTTCCCTATACAATTTTGAAATTAGCATCAAGCAATAGAGTTGTTAAAACAGATGTACTATAAATTACCAAACAATATCAGATTTTGATGCATAAAGTACTAGAAGATAACGTTACTTAATCACAAGATAAATTCCAGAGATAGCCTCTTCCATCTCAAAACTCCACCACTTAGTATGAGAAAATTATTACGTCAGGTGTCCGGATTCGTCTGGATACCAATCCAGACGCGCAACGTCACCTAGATACACCCGGGCCCACTATATCTAGGTGACGTGACGCCTCTGGATTGGTGTCCGGACGGTCCGGTGACCAGGACGTAATAATTCACCCTTAGCATGAGAGCATCAACGCACACCCACGTCTCTAATCTCACAAATAACACAAAAAAAACCCTTATATGGGCCAGAACAAGCAAGCATCCATCCAAAGCAGTAATGAATTGGCGGTCAATTTACCGAACAGAAATAAAAATTACATGAAGCAAAAGAACTACTGCTAATCCAAATCTTCTCAAAACAAGGCTTCTTAACAATCATCAATTCCAACATCAAAAGAATGCTCATCAGAGTAGACAATCTAAAATAACAACTTATGCAACAAGGAGGTCAACAAACCTCCCAGCATACAAGGATGAGTTGCATTCCACTGAAGTAAAATCAGAGCACTCGCCATCGTCTTAATTCAAATATCTTAGTGCCCACTATCAGCTAGTTCAGGGGAACATAGAACAGACAGACTCAATAAAGGCAGTATTCTAATAAAACTAAGCTTTTCTTTTGTTATAACTGTAGTTTATAACGCGAGCAGTGGGATTCAGTTTGGCATGCTTACCGTTGGGAACTGACGTGAAAGGACCTGAGGGCAGTAGACATGTCCGGTGATCTACTGGGCCTCCTACGGTGACGACGACGATGGGATTGCGAACAACGGAACAAGGGGGTGCAGAGAAAGAAGACGAGATAGGGAAATAAAAAAAATGAGGGCGTTTCACATAGTACTTACTAAATTTCGTATATTCAAATTTTTTATTAAAGTTGGAACGTATTAAAATCTGAAAATTATTTAAAAAATAGGATGTTAAATTTTAATAAATTTTGTGAAACTGTTTGTTAATGCAACTTAAATTTTAAGATAATTAATTTATTGAAAATTCAAAGTTAATTAGTATTTTTTAGTTTAATTTGTATTTTTAGATTTAATTTATATTTTAAATATGAGCTATTGATTAATTTCAATTTTAATAATTATCAAAAAGTTACAACTATAAATAAAATAATTAGAAACTAGCTTAGTTATCAAATAATTTGTCTAATGATTCAATTGTTGATTACACTATTAATTATTGGATTACTTATTTAGTTGTTTTTTAATTAGTATTTAATTAATAATTATAATAGTAATTATCTCATTAATTATTTTAAGTATTATTTTAATAACTAGTTATTTAATTACTTATATGACACCCCCAGAACTTGAGATAAAGAATTGAATATATTTCCTACTTTATCACATCTCTGAAACACAATTAGAGCCACTAAAAATGTTTACTATAAATAGTAAACATAAATATTTTTATTTCCCAAAAATAATTTTATACAACATCCAATACAAGTTTTAGCCTCATAAATTTTTGGACTATCAAAAGAATATGTCGGGTTTATGCACATATAATCGTGCACAATATAATCATATCACTATTTGACACATGCCATTTATTGCCAACTCATGCCTAATTATATATTTATATGTTTATATGCAAATAATTATAGTCGATTTTTTCAAACACCATACACCAGGAAGGTAAACATCAACCCAAAAAAAATTCAATGATTTTCTATAGAGTCGTTACTCTTAGGGTTTGTCGGCTCGGCTAGCCAATATACAATAGGGTTCTACCTACCTACACTTCATTGTGCACATACAACAAGTGTTATAGTTTCAATATCATATATGGAACTTTAGAAATGGAGGCCATCCACATATAGACATCAATATTGAACTCTTTGTCTCTATTCTGAGGCAAACTGACTATCTACTTGTGGACACTCAGTCATCATGTATCATGCCTATTCACATCAAAAACACCGGTCAGTCATCCTATAGCATTGATCAAAGTGACATATGTCACAACTCTAACACATAGGTGCCCCATTAATAAAACTCCCAAACCTTACAATATTTCCCCTATTAAAAGTTGCCACAATCATAAACTGACCACTTCTCTATGAAAATACTAACCAATTGTGGATTATATCTTGTCAAAATAATAAACTCTGACTCATACTGCATCACAGTCCTCTCTCGAACTAGTCTCAGAAAAATCTCTTGCATATGTTGACGTGTATAATGTGGTATAAACAAGACTCAAAATATATCAGAGAAATCCTCCCAACTAATCAGAGAATTCAATCTCCCTTAAAACTTCTTCTCCTGCTGGCCCATCCACCAGCACTTTGCCTCACCATCTAACAAAAAAAGTGCTAACGATAATTTTCTCTTAGGAGGACAGTACATACCATCAAATGTCTTCTCCAACCTTCTCAACCATCATCTAGGCTATTAGACTAGCAAACTAAGAAACATTATTATAACTAACTATTTGAGTTGTACTATGTACAGGAGCTACATGACTGATACTCTAATAATCTGTCATGTCTTAGTCTGGCGAATCCAAATAATGATAAACATCCAGACAAACTTAAAGTGTCAGTCAAGTAGCTCTTGTACATAATCTTAAAAGATTACGATCCCTTATGACTCTATTTGTGCTTATAGCATCAGAACATGTCTGTAAGCACCATAACATGTATTATAACCACCAAAACATGGCTTGTTAGCCACCAAAAAATAACTTGTTACCCACCAGAATATGCAATATAGGCACCAGATTCTTAGACTAAAACAGAATCTCAAAAGATTTTGGACACTTAAATCTCCCAACAGACATATTTTATCACATCATTGTGTAGCAATTTAAGCATAATTAGGCGCATTTCATAATTACACAATATTCTATAACAATAGGAAACCAAAATTCCTACTTAATAAAATTTTCTAATTTTAAAATATAACCAAATTACAAAGGATTGTGTAAAACATCATTTTAAGACTTTAATTGTACTATATCATTATTTTTTTTATCTACATTATTTTTTATTCAATAAAATCTATTGAATTTTCAAAATACTATGTGAAATTTTCTTAGAACATATGAAAATTATTCATAATCTTAATTTTTATAATATATAAAAAATTACATGATGAAATTAGAACATATGAAAAAAAATAGATTTTTAAATCCTGAGATATGCATAATGTGACCTATCTCAATCTAGACAATTATCTCAACTAGTCTGAAGGATAAAAATGACCCGAAATAGCTCAAAAATCCTTTTTTCCCTTTCAAATTTCTCTCCCTCTCTATCCTCGCGGCTACCAATGATCAAACGAAATAAGTGAGCAGTGAATTCATTTTATATTTAAAGTGTTGTTAGTGGCTTAGCGTTGTGATGCTAGTTCTTTTTTTCAAAGAAATTTGAGACTATAAAGTGCAATGTCACTATTTAACATTTGGTACTATATAAGCATTGAGATGCTCAAATACCTAACATTGAGACGCTCAAATAGTAATTTTTTTAAAATTTAGCCAAAATTACTCAAGATTCTTAGGACTCATTCTAGAATACATGCAACATTTTTCAAGACACTTTCAAACACATACAAATGGGATCAAAACTCAAAAATTTAAATATTTTCCTTTTTTAAATCGGGTTAGAACAAGTCAATCCATATGCTAAACATGGAGGTGTCATACGTACATAGCCTCACTTAACCATATTCGCCTATTCGACATACAAATTAAGCTTTCTTAGAAACAACTCAACAGAGCCCTTCCAGTCTTATGCACTTTTAAACCAATTAGATGGCAACTTCTATTTAGGGTAAGTTGTGTTGCGTTGTATGAGTGTTCTGTCTAGAATTATTATTTTTCTCTTTTTTGTATAACCTTTTCTGCAGCCCTCAAAATCTTATAAATAAAGGGTGTTGAGAAGCAATTTGAAACCTTTTGCTTGAATTTTGGCTGATTTCGTGGGTTTCATGCTGGTATGAGATTCATAATTTTCTTGAGTTTTTTACATTCTTCCTCTCTCCATTCTCATAGGTTCTAGCTCATCATGTAGATTTGCTAGTAAAGTCAGGTGTTTCCCACAGACATAATCTAATTCAATAGGCTGTCGGTAGAAAGAAGGAAGAGGAGTTTGCCAAGAAACCCTTGGCAAGGAGTTGTTGAGAGGATTTTACTTGGAGTAGAAGTAGAGGTGTGCGGTGAAATAATTTTCATGGGAAATGAATGGAGAAGAGTTATAATTCACTCAACATCAAAATTTATTGGAAAAATCATGCCAATTTTTTTTAAATAAGAAGTATAGTTAAATAAATATTTGGTTTAAAAAATATGACTTCTTATTGCATCAAACTTGGTGCCCATAGGGTTGAAATTCTTCAATATGATGAATATAAAAATTGTGAAGGATTAATCTAGCTTTCTATGGTATGCAAATCACTTTATTAAATAATAATAAGTTAGTAATGCTAAATTTAATGTGATAAAATTAGCTTTTTAGAATTTAAATATTCATCATTATAGTTATGCAAAAACTATGATTTCCTTATTAGAATTTGTCAAAGTGAAAAAAATATTAATATTGTATATGATTGTATTAACATACTAATGATTCTAAAATGATATTATTCCAACTAGTAATGTGAGAGTTCAACTTAATACTTAAACAACGAGAACATGTCTTCTTCTCTAAATTCAAATTATCGATTTGTTAAGATGTTAAAAAACTATAATTTTATGTGCCAAAATGGATAAAATAGAAAACATGAAAGTTTTAGATTATTATGTCACCTTTCTAATAATACAAAAATTATTTGATTTTGACCAAAAAAAATGATTGAGTTCTATAAAAAATAGTGAGAAAATGTTTTCCCATAAAATTAGTTCTCGTGCATAAGAGAATTTTGATATTTTCTTCTACAATGAATTTAAGCAAGATAGGGGGGTATTGTTTTGAGTAAATTTGGTGTATGAATGCATTAGTATGGTTGCTTTGTGATGCTAAGAATATCATAGTACTTTTTGGTCGAGGCATAACACTTTATGTTGGTTCTTCATGACATCGCCTCCACTTCCATCACTATTATTATATTTGACTGATTTGATTGGTGAAATACATATGGAGGCCACAGTCACCTTATTGATCTCCTTTGAGCTTTATTTCACCTTTGTCAAAACTCTTGAGAATAATGTCAGGGGCAAGGACCTCCACGTACGATTACGACATCTCCTATCCTTATTGTCTCACATTTTTCTCCTTTCATTAGCCTCGTACTCAACACTAATTTCTTCAACTTGTTTATTGGCATGTTCCTCCTCGTGCTTGTCTTGCATAAGGGGAGGTTTCTCATCATGTTCTTATGATTCTCCAAATTCTTTTTCCTCAACATTGTCTTGAGATTGGACATCAACATTAATGAACATCTCTGTATTGCGAACCCAACGTATAAATTATTCTCCTCTATGTTAGGAATCTTAGTGATCTCCTCCACAATTTCTATCCCACAATCATGACCTACATTATGTCCATTCATTTTGCCACATTATTCTAACAATATTTATGGAGAATCCTATAAATCTAACACAACATGCCTTATTGATTGTTCTTTCAAACTTCACTAAGAATTTCCTATCAAGTCTCTTATATATAGAAGGCTCTACTATTGCCATTACTTCTCTTTTCTCTTCATCTTAACTATCCATCTTCATACATGCTTTCATATTCTCTTTTTATGATACCTCTTCTTGATGCTTTTAAGTATTTTAAAGATATTTTTTTATGTTTTTAAATAAAAAATATCCTGATCACAACCAACTATGGCCAACAATCACAATTTTATGTAATATTTAATAAAAAAACATATATATAAATGATTATCTTAGGCAACGACTGTCTTTGCTGAGGTGGTGGAGAAATTATTGGGTGCGGAGTGCGGACGTAGCTCTGTGTGTGCAAACGAATTGGGTCGCGCCACGTGGAGCCCATCTTGACCCCACCGACTTGAAGAGAACGTGTGCTCTGTTTACCCGATAACCCGATAACACAAACCATCCGAACTACTTGAAAAAATGCGCGGTACCTAGTAGTACCGAGCGGTACCTAGTAGTACCTAGATGCGGTAAAATAAAGAATAAACTCTAACAACAAACCTTAGATCTACAATAAATTATAGAACTTAGAATGCTTACAAAAATATGCCAAATCCTAGAGAGTACCCACCTCTAGGTACTACTAGGTACCGCTTGGTACTACTCGGTACTACTAGGTACCTCTCGGTACTACTAGGTACCGCGCATTTTTCAAGTAGTTCGGATGATTCGTGTTATCGGGTTATCGGGTAAACAGAGCACACGTTCTCTTCAAGTCGGTGGGGTCAAGATGGGCTCCACGTGGCGCGAACCAATTCGTTTGCACACACAGAGCTACGTCCGCACTCC